TGATTCAAAGACACACACACACACACACACACACACACACACACACACACACACTTGTAAAAGTGTCTTATGTCATGGTAACATGAGATACATAATACTTATGAAACCTAAATGAATTTAGAACTCTGAGGTAAGGTGGATTAAGAGAACTGAAATACATTACTTATGGTCTTATTGATTCCTGTGTGTTCATTATCTTGAACAATTCTGGATAATGCGTAAACCTGAACTGGAATGGAAATTTAGCACAAAAGAAAGGAGTTGTTTCTAATATCTGTTGACACTTCAGGAGTTTACAGCTGGGGATAATGAGAGGTGTGATCTAACAAGATCCGTTAAAAATATTGGAGATTCTACTGCAGCAAGTATTGTAATAGCTCATTAGAACATCAGGAAGCATCAGGAACATCAGGAATACTTAGAAGATCATTGAATAACTTCATTTATACTAAGGTGATCTCTGTCACTATAGTAGTTGCAATATAATCTTGTGTGTCAAACTGGCGGCCTACAGGCCAGATGCAACATGCACAGACCACGCCTACCCCATCTCCGCAAATGGAAAAAAGTCGCAAAATGTCACATAATGGCAATGTGACGCAGCAAGTTTGACACCCGTACCCTAGGAAAATGCATGTATATGTACTCAGAGTACTAGGAGAAATAATAGAAAGCTAACTATGACATTTAATTTGTTCTCTCAATAGATTTCTTCCGTTCAAAAAAAGAATGCAGATCTAGGTCAAGAGGAAATTGTACAGCAGTGCATGAAAAATATAAAATGGATAGAAGATCTCTTTGAGAAGTTTGGTGAACTTTTGAATCATGTTCAGCAGAAATGTTGCTAACAAATATTGATGCAAACGTGACTTTTTTTTTTTGTTCTGTTCTACTCATCAAAATAAAATAAAAAAGGCTGATAGGCTGGTCAAGACAAACTTTATTTTAGGTCAAAAGAAATCATGGTATTCTGGGTTCCTTGTATTCTAATAAGAAAAAAAAAAGATATGATGCCAAGCAAATGGAACTACAAACAAACCTGAATTTTTAA